TATTTCATCTGGTGAGGTCCACGTGTATAGTTGTCTCATGCTGTGTAAGGAAGGTATTTGAAATGAACAAATCATTGCAAGTATTACAGACATGGGTATAGGCACAAATGGGGCATCAAGGAAAACAGAAAATAGAAACACAATGAAATTCTATTTGTTCACTCAAAGGTAAAAGTGGCAGTGGAGCTTTAAAAATCCAAACTCTTGAATATATTTATGGAATTATCTTTTTAGTCACTTAAAAATGCTGTTCATCTTTGCAACCATGCAAATTTCATAGAAAGAGCTTTTTTTGTACAGCTCTCTAAACTGTTCAAATAGCCTAGTAAATGATCATAAGGTATGTAGAGACAGGCAATATTTTTTATCTTCCCCAAAGTTATGAGCAGGTATCATTAGGAGAAAGGAAAATAAATCAGGAATTAAACCTGATGGTATTTTGATAAAAGCAAGAATGTAACTTTTTTTTCCTCCAGGCAGGATCCATGATAAAATAATAAAGATACAATACTTAAAGCAGTCTGTTAGGAAGTATTATTGTTCCAAAGAAGGGGCAGGAATGTCATACAAGTATTGTTGTTAAGTGCCGTTGAGTTGGTTCCAACCCATATTGACCCTGTATAGGGTTTCTGAGGAGTAGCTGGTGAGTTTGAACCGCCGACCTTGCAGTTCAAACGGCTTTGCAATCTGGCACATTAACCCACAGTACCTCACCAGGGCTCCTAATACAAGTATAAGGAATATTAAAAAGATTGGCTCCCTGTGCATGTGCATAAAGAACTAATTAGAGTTAATATATTTAGACTTTCATAATGCTTTTGACATGTTCACATACAAATGAGTCATTCTTGGGGTTGGCAGGAATTGTTTTGTTCTGCATTGTAGGCTGTCTCGAAAATGGCAATAATTTTAGCCTGAAGTTCCGCAACAAGCCTGGTGTCCCCTGTGATCATCCTCTACCAAGGAACCAGACTAACCTTCCACGAATACACATCCAGCCAGGTTCCTCTTACTTAATACCTTTAATGGATCCCCACTGTCATGGACATGAAGCCTAACTCCTGAACTGTGGCTGATAGGGCACTTATGCTCTGGTCCCTTTCTTCTCTTTTCCTGACATTTCCATCTATTCCATTCCCTTGTCCTCTATGAGCAGGATATTCTGGAGCTCTTTGTATTACCTTAGTGCACACTTGCCATGTTTTTGATGCATTTGAACCCTTTTTTCCTTCCATTCCAAAAGCAGCTGGCATTCTAATGAACCCTAGAAGAGACCAAAACTTTCTGTCCTTGAGATCAAGTACACATGCAACCAGTTGCCCATGATGAGCTGGGCAATCTCAGAAGCACTGAGTCCTGAGGTTAAGCGGGCATAGCAGCAATCTACCATAAAATGGAAACAATGTATGTAAATTGGGTTCAAGCAGCTGTTGCTAAGTGCTTTCAAGTTGGTTCTCACTCATAACAACCCTGTATAGGTTTCTGAGGCTGGAAATCTTTATGGGAAGAGTCTGGTCTTTCTTCTGGAAGGCAACTGGTGGAACCACCTTATAGCTAGTTGTACAGTGCTTATCCTAGAAAGGCAAGCAGCCCTAGGGCACAAGTAAACACCTTTACTAAAGGCAGTGCAATGAATTTTTATATGGCCCTTCTAGCTGTGGTCTTGTAACTCCCACAAAATGATTCAGACAAGGCAAATATGGAATGTAAAATTTTAGCTGAGAAATGCAAATACGGTGTGTGTGGTCCACCCAGGGAATCAGTTTTGACATCCTGCTAGGTTTAAAGAAGAGCCAATTCCAACATTGATGGGAGGACCTCATTATCATCAAGAGCTGGGAGTGGAGTGTGTTCTTTGGACCCAGAGTCCCTGTGCTGAGAACCTCCTAGACCCAGGAGACAGAGAGCTGGAATACTGGACAGTTGTAACACTAGCCATAGAAGCAGCACGAGATAGCAGTGGGCCAAGACAACAGCAGCCCAAGATAGCAGTAGCTGCAGTGGGTTCACCCATCCATGCAGTAAGAGAGAGCTGAGTGCCTTTGAGCAGGCTTCTTGGCAGAGTGAGGTGACTTCAGCCATTTATTGGCTAACATAAAGAGATGTGACACCTGTCCAAGAAGGGCAGAAGCTGAAGTGAGGGCCAAAACTAAAGTCTGGCTGCCTACAGGAACAGTAGAGGTGCTGGAAGGCTGGAAAGTTGTTCCTGTAACTTTCAAGTTGATCCTGATGCTGACTTGTAACCTGTTACATCCCTAGTAAGTTCCATAATCGTGGCCTGTTAGTTCTGTGGGGCCATTACAATGATCAAACCCAGCAGAGCTGGAGTGTCATGGAAGGAACAATTGGTGTCAAAACATGTAAAAGAATTGCAGGAGGGAAGTGTCAGGTTTCCACCTCAAAGGAATCAGATTTAGTCTTGATCTTGATGCTGATGCACTCTTTTCCCGCACCTGCCCCATGGATTTTGACACGTTCTAACACTACTACTACCATTTTACACTAAGGTACCTGTCTGAGGACAGCACCCTGCAGGGTTGAGGCCCACAGTTGACTCTGTAGTACATATAACGCAATGACCCAACAATCATATTTACAGTGTTGTGCTCCAATAGCTAGAATTCATTAGTCTGAGAACAAAGAGGAGGCAGGATAGACCCTTTTGATCATCCCAGAGACACATTTGTGCAGTATGTGCTTCCCTTCTCTACAAACGTAGGCTCTGTTGGACTAAAAGCTCTGATTCCCATGGGGGGCGGGGGGATACACGAGGAAACATAGTAAGGATTCTACTGAGCTATGGCTACTTCCTGATCATTTGGACTTCTGGCAAATAGTAGACAAAGAAGTTTCCTATTGTAAATAGTAATAGACCCCGATTTTGAGGTACTAGGGTCACTGGTACACAGGGTACTAACGAGTATGCCTGAAATCCAGGAAACTCACTGGAGTATCGTACTGCTTTCATGTCAGGAGAAAACTGTCAACAATTGCTACAACGAAGGCTCGACGATGCTGCAGTAACTGAAGTTCTGACCTGTGTCAGTGAAGGCATGACGACTCCATCAGGCAAGCAATCTAGACCTCAGCAAAGGAAATCCACGAAGAATAATGAATGATGACAACGTCAATTATGGCCTCAGGAACAATTGTGACAGTGTGGACTGCTTTGTTACACTGACCCTCCTACATGACACTTCTGTAGAGACTGGTAGCCACCATTTTGTAGGTCATGTAACTTATCGAGTTACTGTGTACGTAAGCAGGTACAAGCAAAGGGTGGATGAGGCGTAAGAATACCTTTTGTGCCCTGCTGCACATTCTCTTGGCCTACCTTATTTATTCCAGTTGTTGGTGTAGCCATGAGCTGACGGCTTCTATCTACCTGCTATCTGTCGTAAACTTTCTCCTAACTCCATATGGGATGCCTGTAAGGACCCAGTCAACCATGGAGGCATACCTATACCCACAGTGCAAGGAAACTGCATCAGACAATTCTTGACCAATGAGGAGAGGCGACAGCAGATGGAGGGAAAATTCTGTCATTCTACAGGGCTCCTCAGAAAGTACCTATGAGAACTGAGCCCACTATGCTGAAGCCTTAGCCCACACTTGGTTTTCTTTCCCTCCTGCTCTGCTTCACTCTTTCCACACCCAACTCCTTTCAAATCACTCAATTCTAACATAATTTACCTGCATACAGGTTCTGCATTTTGGGGTAACTCAGGCTACAATATCAAATGAAGGAATAGTTGTGAACATGCTTTCAAAGTTAAAACCAATATACAAATGGATTCTAAACTTACAGTAATGCTGCACTCCTACAACACCAAACTTCATTCTGGAGAAGACAGTCATTCTACTGCTTCAAGACTGAGCTACAAACATGAGGTAGCTCTAATTAATTAAGCAATAATTAATCTTCATCACCCTACAAGGTAGCAGCATCACTATCTCTATACTGCAGATGAGGAGAGGTCTGGCATTCACACTGCTAAACTCCAGAGCTGGAATTCTAGCCCAGATCTGCCCTTCAGTACCCATGGCCCCCACCCTCCCTTTCTCCTCATGCCACAGTGGCTCCCACTCCAGCCAAACCCATCATACCTTGCCATTCCCTGGTCCTATTCTGTCCTGACAGTCTGTGCTCCCGAAATTCCTCAACAGAATTGCTTGCTTGCTTTTCCATCAGCTTGCCTACATCACTCTTCTGAGTCGCTACTGTATTTTTTGGAGTTCCTGGATGGTACAAAGAATTAATCTGCTTGGCCACTAAACAAAAGGTTAGGCATTCAAATCCACCCAAAGGCATTTTTGAGAAAGGATTGGCAATCACTTTAGAAAAACCAGTCACTGATAACCCTGAGGGAGCAGCTCTACTCTGAAAGACATGGTATCTTCACAAGTTGGGATTGACGCCACAGCAACTGGTACTGTATTCTTGTTAGCGTCCTTTAATCACACTGCCCCGACTGTTCTCCTGTATCTACCATTGGCAATGGAGCCAGAGAAGGACTTGGGTATTCAATACTACTACTAGGCATGTAATAAACACACTACCAGGTCTACCTACATAAACAATAGTTGAATAAACAGTTATCAGAAAGTGAATTCCTTAAGCCCAGGGACTAAGTCTATCTTATCGATGGCTGTATTCGCTGCACATCTCACAATGTGCAAATTATAAGTACTCATTTATTGAATAAGCATGAATCTGTTTCTTCATCACACTGTGAGCTCTTAGAAAGCAGAAACTCTTACAAGATCTAGAAAATGTTTGTTAAATCAAAGTGATATTAAGAAAGAGAAATTATTTAATGAGTAATTGAAGATTTATTTAAGCAAAAATACATACATAAGTCATTATTGCCAGACTTAATATGAGAGATTAAATGTTCGATCCAATTTTCCTTCCTGGATAAGTTTTTCTTTCCTATCCTATAGAGGCAGGAAAAAAAAGAGAAAAGAAAAAAGTATACATTAAAAAAAATAGTCAATGCTTTGGGGCACAACCCATCAAACAACACTGAAAACCAGAAATGAAAATTTCTAAACTTAGTTCCAATCCTCTTTTAAACCTAGGGAGTCTGAGCGAGGAGAAAGTAGTCTGGAGAAATAAAGAGACTATACAGAACACATTCTTACTCAAAAATATCTTTTCCACATTTTAGCAATTAGAAATATATTATCTAATTAAAAAAACATACATTAAAAGCAAAATGCAAGCATCTTTTTGCATTTTGGTCTACCTTGTTTTTAAGTAGATAATTTATCAACTGTCATGAGCTCTAACAAGAGGAGTCCTGCAGGACAATGCATAAGGTCAATTTGAACCACAAGGACAGGGGTTCACACCCACCAACTGCTCCGTGGAAACAAGAGAACGGATTGGCTGTCTTAAGGTAGAGCTAGATGGAAACATGAGGCCTGGGACTGAAAGCAGAGTTGTTGTTGTTAAGTGTCACTGAGTAGGTTCCAACCCATACTGACCCTGTATAGGGTTTCCGAGGAGCAGCTGGTGAACTTGAACTGCCGACCTTGCAGCTCAAACAGCTTTGCAGAGTAGATGCTGCCAAAAAGAAGCTTGGCTTAATCTGCAATCACATATCCATGCCCCCGATGACAGTGGATCTCAGCAGAGGCAGCTTTTGCTCCTCTGTTGTAAGAACATTAATAAGGTGATGCTACAGGTTAATGCAATGGGCTACAAAGTTGGTTTGAAACACAAGGTTGGCAGTTCAAGCTCACCAGTTTCTCCTCAGAAAACCTATACACTGTCACTATGAGTCAGAACTGACTGGATAGCATGTAACAACATTAATTTACAAAATGTAACCAGTAGGAACATGGTAAATGATTTATGTATTCTGCCAATAATCTACCCCAATATAAATATATCATCTTTTATGAACAAATGAATTTAAAAATTGAACACAAAAATTTGCAATTATAATATCTAAGATGAATTGTGAAAGAACTATTTAATTTCTGCATGTCTTCTAATGGCAAATAAAAAAATGAACTTTTTGAAAGTTATTTTTATAATCCCTTGCTTGTATCATCTCAAACATACCAAGATAATTCTTTCAGGACCAAAGTACAGGTCTTACAAATTTAAATTATTTCATGATTACAAATTCTAGAGAAGTCATTAAATTTAATTTGACTGAAAGTCCAGTGGCTATCATGACTTAAAAA